AGCGGCGCCACAGCAGCCGCGGCGAGCGGCGGCGGCCTCGGAGGAAGAGGGGTCGCCGCCCGGTGTTCTTGTGACCGTCGCTTTCTCGTCGTCGCAGCATTTCCTGTTCGGATTATCTTCGGCTCCTCCACCCCCGCCCCGTTGCCACCTTCCCCTCAAGCTCCCACTCCTCTGTGTCCTTGGTGGAAGCTGCCCTCGGCTCCGGTTCGTCTCCCCCTTCTGGGGACCCTCTTGTGCCTCGGCTCCCGGGCTGCGGGGGAGCCCCGCCGAGACCATGAGGAAATTCAACATCAGGAAGGTGCTGGACGGCCTGACCGCCGGCTCGTCCTCGGCCTCGCAGCAGCAGCAGCAGCAGCAGCACCCGACTGGGAGCCGGGAGCCCGAGATCCAGGAAACGCTCCAGTCTGAGCACTTCCAGCTCTGCAAGGTGAACGGAGCGCGCAGCCCCTAGACGCCGTCACAGAAAAATTGGGGTCGTTTTAAGGGGCAGCTCGGGCTTTACTGGGGAGTGTAAGGGAAGAGAACGCCAGTGATAATCATAGCTGTAAAGAAAGGGCTCCCTCCTCCAGCAGACGTTTCTTGGAGATTATCATCTTACTCTTTTTCTTAGATTTCACTCTCTCCCCATTTCACATGCAGCAATCGCTTCAAGGTTGCTTCAGATGTATTATCTGACCTTTAATTCGTATTATGACACGGCGAGCAATAATCTGGAAGCCTTTTATACTCAAGCATATTAATATAATGTACCAAGTTTGAAGTTTCCTTTGGAAACAGTGTCTAATGAAGATTGTTTATCAAAAAGCCAAACCTGTTCTACCAGATCTTTGCTCATCATTTTCCCCTTAAAATGTGGGATGAGCGGTTTACAGTCTCAAGTCTCAGGGTTCTTTTATCATTGTGTTGGGTTAAAAAGTTAGTATTGAGATTTTTGCCTATTAATGACACAGTAATTGCCATAGTGTTCTGTAATTCAGAAAGAATGATGCAGCGAATTAGTTCACCAGCTGCTCATTGAGAAATACAAACTCGTCCTGGTATTAATACATACTTTCCTTACAGATAGTCAAGCGTTTGTATGTCAGAGTTTCTTAAAAGTGTACGCAATATATGTTTTTGTCCCAGTGCTCTAAAATGATCATGGCTTCAGTAGTAAATTGCAAAACTATATGTTGGTCGTCATTTTCATTCTCTTATAAGTGAAAAATTTTGGGATAGAGGTGTTTTGATAATTGCTTTACTGAATCCTTGACTGAAGTAATTATATGACAACTTTTTTCTTAAAAGTTCTGGCATTTAGCATACCAATAAAGTAATGATGAAGTGTTACTCTCCCAAGTAAAGCATGAATTGCATTTTTAAATGGATTTTCGGAATTTTGGACCACTGAAAAGTTTAGTCATTTGCTGTCAGATGTAATAGTGTAGAATACGGATAAGAAATTTTCTTTTGTGGAATACCAGTATTATGGAAAAAGAGAGATTAAAATGTGTCACGTGGATAGATTTGGGGTTTTTTTTGTTGTTGTTCAGGTTCTACGTCAATAAATTTGTTAATATAGATTTCACTTTTTTAAAAAAGCAGTAAGTGTACCTATATGTGTTTTGCATCAGTAACAGTTGGTTCTAAATTCTAATGGCTGTATTGACTTCTTTCTTTTCAAATTTCACTTGCTGCCTTGTCACTTGCCCATCCCTAGACCGTTCGCCATGGATTTCCCTATCAGCCCTCAGCCTTGGCCTTTGATCCTGTACAGAAGATCCTAGCGGTGGGAACTCAGACTGGTGCTTTAAGGCTGTATCCTTTAATTTTGTCTTTTATAACTTTTATAACTTTAACTTTGTTCTCTCCAGTTACCCTATGTTGCTGATAAGTTTGAAAGACATTTTTATTTTCCCATTTAATTACAATGAAATGGTGTGATCTGGTATATATTGAGGGAAATGATGTGGTATTGGCTTTTCCTCATAATCATACATATATTCAGGTTCTATATTGCTGTGATGTTTCCTCAGTTTAGTTTAAATACCTAAACACGTATCCAAATAGAGGTCTAACGTTTTGCTATAATGACTACTTTCTTTGCAAGGAGATACAAGTTCCTAAGTGAAGAGAGATACCTGCTTGTACTAGACTAGTGGTCTGTTGAGTGGGGTATGTGATGAGAAGGTTTAAAGAGCATGTACATTTAAATTATTATGCACAGTAAATTTTGAGCTTATGACCTATTTATTATTTAATGAATTAGAGGTTGGATTTTAATTTGAATTTGGTTGTTTCTGGCATGTCCATCTAGAAAAATAATTGGCAGAAGAGAAATGTAGCAAATTCATTGGCTATAAATGGGTTTGAAGGTTAATATTTCTAGATGTTTTAGAGCATTTTCTTGAAGAAATGAATAGGGATTAATGTACTTTCTTGATAATTTTCCCTTCGGTAGTCTATATTTGTAAAGTATTTGTAAAAACTGCTGGGTTTGCTGTACATTACAGTATTAATATGGAAAGAATTCCTTTTCCTGGATAGGCATGAACTATAGTATAAGCATTTTTTCAATAGTTAAAAAGATTTTCGGAAATCATTTTTTTAGTCTGAACAATGGAGACTACTCAACTTTCTCTTTTTAACTTGAAATAAAAGTTGTGTTTGCTTTTACTGTGGCATTTAATCACACTTAACCAAAATAGTTTTATTTTTAAACTTAAGATTTTGAAAAGAAAATTCTTTGTTTATCCATCTATAGGATATTTGCCTCCTGCATATTCCTAAGGTAATGTGTTGGTAATATATAGAAAAAAAAAATCACTGGGTGATCTCAATAGACATTACTGTTTTCAAAAAAAAAAAAAAAAGTTGTTGGGGAGAAGCTCTAGCCTTTTACATTTTAGGTTTATCTGGCTCCTGAGGAGGAAGGAAACCTGTATTTGAATTAAACATGTGTTAGACTTTTTTTTTGCCTTTTAAAATCTTTATATCTAAAAAGAGTTCTGTGTGGTATCAGGATCCGCCTCAAGGTTCATCTTGATTTTGTGTGTTCTCTTCAAAACGCTAATACAAATTTTCTAATGGACTAGTGAACTGTGTTAACTAAGTGGAGTCTGCAAAACAGCTTAAGTCCTAGTAGTGCAGTCATACCTATTTAAAAGGTAAAGTTTGACCAGGCTAGATCTGAATCCATTCATTTTCTGAGCCAGTATGTCTAAACTCTTCTTGCCCCAATAGCTAGACAGTTAAGGTTACAACATTTTTTTGGCCTCAGTTGTTTAGATGTTTGTGTTCCTGAACTCAGTCATAACCCTTGTAGTTTAGGCTTCCAATTTTAGTCTTATGAAGATGGAAATGAAGTTATTTTGTCAGTGTGGGCGCTGAGTATTCAGAACTCTTGTGTGGTGATAAGACTAGCGCATTGTTGGATCTAGATGGACTCTTTGGAACAGAAAGCAGGTTCCCCGCCCCCACCCCCTGCTCCAGACAAGAATTTCCTATCTGGACTAGAAGAAAAAAGTAAAATTGGATTGACTCAGTTTGTCTTTGATTATTTTGCTTTTCTTTTAAAAGCATTCAGTTTTTACTATTTCCCCGGTGTGGTCACAACAGTCTCTTGGTATATAACTTTTATTTCTTTTAAACAGCCAATCTGGCCTTTTATAATTTAATTATAAATGAGTACCACCAGCAAAGCTGGTTTTATAAAACCAAATATTTTTCTTAGACAACACCTTTAAACCCTAATACATTTGCATTACTAACAAGTTGACCCAAAAGATGTAGTTAAAATGTTAGGCCTAATGCTAATTGCCAATTAAGATCAAGGGTCAAGTGGGCAAAATTATTACCTGTGTATGACTTATAGTGTACTTTTTTACAATTGAAATATTATGTGAATGGCAGTGAAAGTATAATTATAGTTTACAATTATAAAATTTTTTAAGAAACCCCTTACTATATGTTTAAAATGAAATCTGGAGAACTACCAAATTTCTTTCTACTTCCCTTTTTATGAGCTTTGTGTGAACTTTCCAGAGTGATAAATTGGCTTGCCTACCAGTAATACTACCTAGTCATTCCTTCTGTTAGGTTTAAGTAGCAGATGAGCTTTATTTATTATCGCTCTGATTTATAGAGAATGACTAAGACCTTTTTATTTTTATCTCATTTTCCACACATAGGGTTTAAGATACACATTTCTCTGTTATTTTTGAAGGTAGACACCTAAATTTATAGATTCTAATTCTAAAGTTCCATGTTGGTTTAGCATGCAGTTTTGTTACAAGTATAGAATATTGGACCTTGCTCTTTTGTATTTTTTCCTATTGTAGTTGGCTTTTGGGGTATCATTTTCTTTATTTTCTTACAACCCCTTGTAATCTGTAATACATTTGTCATAAAAGACATCTTAACAGCAGAAATAAACTCCTAGATAAAAACTTTTCATTTAGCTTTAGAGCAAAATGTTTCATAGATATTTTCAGAAGTAGGTTCCAGCTATTAGCATTCCAAATGCATATCTATTTTGATATTATTATGAAATATCTTTCTAAATGTTGGAGGATTGTACCAAATTTATTTATCTACCTTGAGTTAAAACCAAAAGAACTAGATAAAGTTGTATCTGATACCTAATGTTGGTAGACAAAAGTTAGTTAAAATCAAAATCCTTAAATAATACCTAACCAATAAAGAAGCAAAATAAATTTAATGAATTTACTGCATTAATGTATAGGAAATGATCGATATAATTGTAAATATGCTTAATGCTCAACCTTCTTAATTCCTGGAGAGAATATGTGCTTGGAGTAACAAGTTACATAGAAGTGATATGATTGAATTATCTTCATTTCTTTTTGCTAGTAGAAATATGTACAATTTGATTCTTAAGAGTAATATAGAGATCAGAACTACTTGAGGTGAAACAATCCATTATCTATTCTCATGTGGATAAGAACACTTGATCTTAGCTAAAAGGCTGAGAAGCGATACCCATAGAATAAGTAAAAGGCTTCTGACTGAATAATGAAGGTATTTTTTTTTTTTTTTTT